TATACACACGTGCATGTGTGTTCCCATCAGTAACACTTGTATTTTATGTGTACATTTTGCACATAAATTTATTTCTTGTGGACATTGTGAATGCATACAATATATTCAGAAGGATATAAAGCAGCAGATAACCTTGCTTGGCCTTGTAAAAGGGAACATAGGGGATGCATGGGGAATCACATTGAGCCCTTTCTCATCTTTTGAGTATTAAATTATGCAGAAATGCAGCCTATGCAAACAGCAAAAAAGTTCTATTTTTAAAGAAAAGGAGAGAAACCTCAGAGGCCCTGTTGGGGACTACCATTAAGGAAGAAGCCCCATGGAGAAGGGGGGGGTTCGTGAAAACAGATTGGACCTAAGGTACTCAGGGGTCAAATGAACTGCTTGAAATTAGGAGTTCTGAAGCCTTCCTAGAATTGTCCTTGATGCTAAGTTTATGTTTGAGAGGGTAGGCATTTCAGGAGTCGAGAGCAGAGATCAGCGGGAAGGAAAAGGCTTGGGGAGCCCTGGTGAGGGACATTTCAGTTATCATTTCAATCACAGTCAGATGTTGCAAACCAAGATCCAATGCTTGAAGGTTTTTATTCTTTTATATATCTTCCCTGGTTTTCTCTTAGATTTTATGGCTCATGGCTATAATCTCTTGGGTTGCTGAGGCAGGAGGATTGCAATTTGAGACTAGCCTGTGCTATATTGATAAGTTCCATGCTAGCCTGGGCTACAGTGTATATGACTTTGTCTCTAAGACACACACACACACACACACACACACACCAAAAATAAGACATTATTAGTCTTAAACTGGGTCTGGGGAGATGGCTCTGTTGGTAAAAATGCCTGCCTTGCAAACACAAGGACCTGAGTTTGATCCTCAGTACCTAAGATATGTTTATGCGGGAAGCTGGTCACGGTGAAGACCCAGAGCTGGGAGGGTAAAGATAAGCAAATCGCTGGGGCTTCCTGGCCCTTCTCACTGGGCAAGCTCTAGGCCATTGAGAGACTTTGTCTCAAAAAACAAAAACAAAAACAAAACCAGATACATGGTACCTGGGAAATGACACTGGAGGCTATCCCCTAGCTTCCACATGTACATCCATACACCTCCATGCACACACATGTACACACACATGCATGCACACTCTTACACCCATGTGCAGCTATATACATGCACCCCAGAACCAAAGCAAACCAACAAACCTAGTCTTAAACTGGAGGGGTCTATAAGTTTTCTGGGACAAGAAAAATAGACATAAGAAAGCCAGCTTCCCAGACTGTTCTCAGCAGGACACAGGAAGCCAACAGCCTGGACAGCTGGCAACAGCTACTATGGAGAGCAAGGCAGGGGAGCTCCTGGGACCTGCCACCCTGAAGGAGAGTGGCAAAGAGCCTGCCCAGGCCTGTGGCTGCCCCAGGCTCAGGAGCAAAGGGTTCCTCAAACTCAGTGACAGATAAGCAGGGCTCAGTAATAGGATTAACCCTGAAAGTGTTACAGGTAAGGGGAGACGAGCCCATTCTTGCCATCGTGAGAGCCAGGAGCCCATTCTTGCCATCGTGAGAGCCAGGAGCCCATTCTTGCCATCGTGAGAGCCAGGAGCCCATTCTTGCCATCGTGAGAGCCAGGAGCCCATTCTTGCCATCGTGAGAGCCAGGCCTTGTCCTCCTCCAGCCGGCAGCACTCTGTCTTCATTGTTCCTGACAGGGCACAAAGGAACACTCCAGTTTGTTCTCTTGCCTTATGTGGATCTGCAAACTACGGGAAACAATTGCTCTATGGGTGCTTGGTTTATTTTTTCCTCTTCGTGGTGTTGAGGATTGGGCCCAGGGCCTCACATGTGCTAGGCAAGTGTTCTACCATTGAGCCATGTCCCCAACTCTCATTTTCTGTTGTAAGACGAGGTTTAGTTGAGTTTGCCCAGGCTAACCTAGAACTCTTTCTGTAGCCCAGGCAGACTTTGATCTTTAACCTTTCTGCTGCAGCCTCCTAAGGGGCTTGATCATGAGCAGACCAGCCTCTATAGGACAATACTGAAAATGTCAAACGAGCAGTTATATGCTATCATCCCCCTGCTCCCAGTCTTAACATGGACACTGTGACCCTTTGAACTTAGCCGCTTTCTACTTCAGCCCTAGTTTTGTCTTCTTGTCTGGGAGAAAAGATCGCCATCCAATATATTCTAGTCCTCTGTAGACCACCCCATGTGGAACAGTGACGTGTAAGATCCCAGCTTTGCAGGCAGAGGGACTAAGACTAACAGAGAACAACCAGTCAAGGCTAAGGTGGGGAGCTCAGTAATGCTCTGGGATCCCACTGATGGAGGAACCCCAGAAGCTGAAAGCATTCAAGACAGGCAGGCTCACACACGCCTGTAATCCCAGCCTTTGAGAGGCAGAAGCAAAAGGATTGCTACAAGTTCAAGGCCTGCTTGGGCTACACAGAAAAATGTTATCCCTAAAACACAAAGGCAGGGCTGAGGGGATGGCTCCGTCAATAAAATGTTCTTCGTGCAAGCATGGAAACTTGAGTTTGATTACATAAAAGCTGACAATGGTGGTTGGCATGTGTCTGCAATCCCAGTGTGGTGGGTTGAAAGAAAATGGCCCCTAAGGTAGTGGCACTATTAAGAGGTGTGGCTTCATTAGAGTGGGTGTGGCCTTGTTGGAGGAAGTATGTCACTGTGGAAGTGGGCTTTAAGGTCTCAGAAATGCTCAAGCCACACCCAGTGCCTCAGTTCACTTCCTGTTGCCTGATGTAGGACACTCAGCTACTTCTCCAGCACCATGTCTGCCTGCCTGCCACCATGCCGCACCATGATAATGGGCTAAACCTCTGAAACTTTAAGCCACCCCAATTAAATGCTTTTCCTTTATAAGAGTTGCCATAGCTGTGGCAATAGAAACCCTCACTAAGACTCCCAGCATACCCATAACCCCAGCTCTGGGGAGACTGACAGGAGAGGTGCTTTTTGGCCAGCTAGACTAGCTGAGTCAGCAAGCTTCAGGCCAACAAGAGACCATGCCTCGGAAATCAAGGTGGAGAGCAACTGGGGAAAATAGCTGATGTTGACGTCTAGCCTCCACATGTACATGTATGTCAACACATATATAATCCTTGTGAATCCTATAATCCCAGCACTTGGGAGGCAGATGCAGGAGGATCGAGAGTTCAAAATGGCCAACCTGGGCTATATGAGACCTTGTCTCACAAACAAAACAAAACAAAAAAATCATTCAACACTCAAACTTCTAGGAGAAGGTGGGTCTTGAAGGATGAGTTATCGTGAGGAATTCAGGCAGGTCAGAGGTTCAGGACTGTTCTATATAATGCGTCCTTGAGGGACAACGACGAGGCAAGTTAGCTAGAGGGGAGGGCAAGTGACAGCAATCACTGGTTTCTGAGGCGATGGAAAGGAAGAGATTTTCCAGGACTCAGAGGAAGCCAGTGCACATCTGTCAGGGCTAAAACGGATTAGTGATTCCACATCATTTGTCAAGATTGGCGAAGGGGTGGGACCGCGACCACGGGAATTCTCCTTCATCATTGTGCAGTTGGAGCCAAGGGAAAGCAAACTATTTTGGTTATTTTTGTTGTTGTTTTGTTTTGACTTAGGTAGCCTAGGGCTATGTAGCTCAGGCTGGCCTTGAACTTTCGGCAGCCCTCCTTCCTCTAAATGCACACAGCTGGGATTATAGATGTATGCCATCATTCTTGGCTCAAGGGCAAACTTTAAATTTAATATTATTTGAGATTGGATCTCACTATGTAGACCAATCTGGTTTCACATCCATGGAGTTCTACCAGCTTCTGCCTCCCCAAGTGTCTGGCTCCAAATTCTTTAAAGCACTTCACTCTGTCTGGCCTCAAACTCAGGTTGCCTTATCTTTTTACTCTCTGTTCCTCCCTCTTCCATTTGCCTGCACACCACCAGATGACAAGGAGAGATCTGTTGTCACTGTGAGTTTGGGTTGGGATGGCAACCTGGGCCATTTGCCTTGTTGGAAAGTGCATGCAGATGCATAGAGTGAAAAGCATGGAGACGGACCGTGCTGGTGTTCCCTGGTCTAAGATGCAGAAGTCTCTGGAGCCAGCTGTGACACTGAGCTGTGTGACTGTGGACTGGTAGCTTTCATGCCTGCTCCTCCGTTTCATTTGCGTGTAAAATGGAAATTATGAATACCTCTTTCCCTCCCTCCCTCCCTTTCTTTCAAAGTCTTTTTTTTTTTTAAAGAGGTTTTTGTTTTTTTAATTATATGCCCTCGGTGTTCTGCTTGCATGTGTGCTTGCCAGAAGAGTGCACCAGATGTCATTATACATGGTTGTGAGCCACTGTGTGGTTGCTGGGAATTGAACTCAGGGCCTCTGGAAGAGCAGCCAGTGCTCTTAATCTCTGAGCCATCTCTCCAGCCCCCCTTCCTCCCTTTCTATCCCATGATTTTCTTGGGGTTCAAATAAAATGTGGTGGGAACTGGGGGGGGGACAACTCAGTCTATAAAGTGGTTTGCCTTGCAAGCAGGAGGACCTGGATTTGACCCCTTGCACCCATGTAAAGAGCAAGGTATGGTAGTATGTACCTATCATCTCAGCACTTAGGGGAGTCAAGACAGGTGGATCCCTGGGGCTCCCTGTCTGGCCAGTCTAGCCTAATGAGGCCTAGATCACTGAGAGACCTTGTATCAAAAAATAAATAAATAAAATAATAATAAAATAAAAAAAATAAAAAAGTGGGTGGCTCCTGAGGAATGAACTTAGTGCCTGGTGTGTGTGTGTGTGTGTGTGTGTGTGTGTGTGTGTGTGTTCTCTTTTGAGGGTGAAAATTTACTAGTTATATAGTTCAAAATGAAGTCTGCATGGGAGTGATGTAGGGGTTACTGGGAAATTTTGGAAATCCTCATCTGCCTTATGACTGCATCGGGTTGCATCCTATCACTATAAGAAATTTAATTGTATGACTTCCTTTGGCATGTAAATAACCTTCCCTCTACTGGCACCTTTTCTTCCCCAGATGTTCCTGAGCTCCCATTCGAAAGTTCCAGTTCGTCTCACCTGGCCTCTTCATCTGCCGGTGGGACCCTCAGATGCTGAAGCACTAACTAGAATTCTCATGGAGCATTTCCCAAACCACCCTAGGCTTCGGTCACCCCCCTCAGAGAATCCAGAGTCAACACAGACTTAAGAATGGAAAAGGACTTTTCTAGAAGTGACAAGATATTCTTCACAGCTGAGAATTGGTTTCTAACCAGGCCCTCCATTAAACACTTTTGATTTATGTATCTTGTTGTGAATGGTCCTGTGAGTCTGCTTTATCCTTAAAGAAGAGAAGGAATGGCAGAATTGGCAACAAGTACAGAACCTCGGAAAAGCGTCCCTGGATATGTTGGGTTTGGTGAGGGGATGGATGTCTGATGGCCTCATTGGTAACACTGGGTGAATCAGGGTCCCAGGAGGAAATGACAACCCCCAAGGCTCCTAGAGTAGTTGGTGGAGATGCTTAGAATGTTGAGGTTGTAGCACAGACCGAGAGTTTTCAACAACAGAGATGCATTTGATCATAGTCTGAATAACGGGAATCCGAGATGATGTGTCAGCAGGTAACGCTGAGGTCTCCTCTCTCCACTGGCCATCTTCTCTGTCTTTCCTTCTAAGTCCTGGTGGGGCCCATTCCAATGATTCATGTGATCCCATCCATCTCTGTCTCCAAATGCAGGCTCATCCTAAGACACTGGAAGTTAGGAGTCCAGCATGTGGATTTGTAGGGGATGTGGTTCTACCATTAACACATGCTATGGGCAGGATTAGAAGAATCGAGATAGGTGGATAGCAGCAGGGAGAACCTTTATCATCCTTTGGGCCAAAGAGATGAAGGGAGAAGGGGAAGTCTTGGAATCCAGCTTCTGCTGTGGCCTTGAGAAAGAGATTGGCAGACACAATGCGTTGGAGGTGGCAGAAGAATATGGGAGGGGAGGGAAGCAGCTGATACCCAACTCTTCTCTCTGAACACCCTTCCACACTCCTGGCAAACCCCATCTGGAAGTAGAGGCAAAGATACTTGTGGTTCAGCCCTTAGCTGCCAGCCTCCTGAGGCAAGAGAGCAGAGCTGGCAAGGGTAAGGCTATGGAAAATAACCAGTGTCATGGAGAAGAAGAATACAGGGCTGGGACCCATGAGATGGCTGAGCTGGTGAAAGCATTTCCTGCACAAGCCTGATGACCCAAGTTCAGTCCATAGAACCCATGGTGGAAGGAGAGAACGAACTGACTCCCAAAAGATGTCCTCTGACCTCCACACGCATCAAACCCCTACCCCCACAACAGTAGAACACATGTCTGGAGAAGTTACAGTTGCCCTTTGAGCAATTTAAAAGAGCTTTGGAGTAACTGGAAAACAAAACAAAGTCACTTAGCCACAGAGACTGTTACTGTAACAGCCCCCCCTCCAGACCTAAACACAACTGACACCATGTTAAAGGCACCAATCTGATCTTAAAACCCAGCACCTAATCCATCAAAGACCCAGTCCATAGTTCCAGAAAAGTCCCTAAATGTACTAACCTCAGGTTTTTACTTCTGTAGCTCTGCTACTTGCTAACTGAAGTGTAACAACCAGGATGTGGTTTTTGTGCATAAAAGACAAAGGACTGTTAAAGCTCAAGGCTACATGGTTTGGGCAAGTTCCCTCCCTATGCAGCCACCAGCCAGCAATAATGACTTTCATTTTTGGCTATATGAGAGTCTGTGGTGGTCTCTGGTGGGCTTACTTCACAATAGTACATTCTATACTAAACCACTTACCCATGTAGCTATCTCAGGGCCTCGGAAACTGCTGTTCTAAGATGCTTAAGTAGAACAGAAAACGGAAAAGCAGTGTTTGCTGTTATAGTTTGAGTATGAAGTAGGCCCAGAGGGGCTCATGCATTGCGGATGTGGTCTCCAGGTGGCAAGTCCTGTCCCTGGGAGGTGGTTTTATTATTAAGGTCTGACATCATCAATCAGTTAGTATTTATAGTGTAATGTGCTTTTAGGAGGTGGGGACTGGCTGGAGGGAGTAGGTCCCAGAGGTCATACTTGAAGGGTCTGTCTTGTGGTCGACCCCTCCTCTGTCCTGTTTGCCACAAGGGAAGCAGCTCTGGTTTGCCCCCATGTTATTCTGCCTTGTCATGCACGGGCTTAGAATCAATGCAACCAAGTAGCCAGGGACTGAAACTCTGAAGTCAGCAGCCAAAATAAGTCTTTCTCTGCAAGTTGCATGTTGCACAATATTGAAAAGGGTGACAAACACAGCTATGAATTGTGATCCCAGACAATTCTTTCTACACACACACACACACACACACACACACACACACACACACACAGGTTTTGAACAATGGCCCAGATTGATGGTACAGAATGAAGTGGTGTGTGTCCACCTAGGGTGACATTAAAGCGTGGTTCCACAATGTGTCTTTCCCATAGGAAAGGTGTCCTCCTCCTGGAGCCTGTGTCCTCATGGTCAGCCCCCAGCAGTCATGGGCAGATAGAGAAGCTGGGTGGTCTGCAGCTGTGTCCGTCTCTCTTTTTCCCCAGGGGACCCTCTGATCATGTCATAAGCCAGTTACACCCTGGGACTATGTTTGGACGGGCCAGTCTGGGGTCTACCATTGCTCTCTTTTGGAATATGAACCAGAGTCGTCCGGACCAAGAATTATCAAGGTGAAGAAGGGCTTCTCTATACCAGCACATCATGTTGTTTGTGGATGTATCCCTGTGTGTCCAACTATCCCAGACTTACTACAGTGAAGAGTTGATTACTTCCTGTGTGAATCTGAAGTTTGGGCACGGCACGGCTGTGTGTGGAGAACTTGCCTCTGCTCCCGTACTCAGCTCCTGGACATCCCTTCAGAGGAGTGAAAGATCTGTTTTCAAGAGGCAGAGGGCTATGGCTGGCAATTTAGTGTGGGCCATCCACTAGGGGCTCAGTAAGGGCTGAAGGCAGATCCGTTGTTCTCTTCACAGAGCCTGGTGTTTTGAAACATGGGGGTGAGCCAAGTGGGCCTGAGTCACCTTCAAGGTTCCAGTCATGGAGTTTCATAATGTCACTTCTATTTCTTTAGTTGGCCAGACAGTTCCATTTTTAAAAAGGGAACACAGACTCTGGAGAGTTGCAAGGCTCTGGAAGAACATGCTGGTTTCTAGGATAGCTACAGACACCCAAAAGTACCTTGTAGAGGTGTCTTATGTACACATAACCTACTGTTTTCATATGCAGTATCTCAAATAGCCTCCCACTTCTTTCTGATGATCTACCTGGATATGAGATGGTCTCATGTATCCCAGGCTGGCCTTGAACTTACCATGACTCCAAGGATGATCTTGAACTGCTGAGCCACCTCTCGATGCTGAAATTACTGGTGTGGTGGACAGTAGTTTATGAGGCACTGGGGATCAAACCCAGAGCCCTGCTAACACTGGATAAGCACTCTAACTACTTGGTACTATCCCTAGCCCCTCTGATTTATTCATTCTCTTTTGGTGCTGGGGGTTGTACCTAAGATCTCGTATACAAGCTGATACCGGGGAGCTATGTTCCCAGCCTTTCCCATACAGTAAATAATTTCTAGAGACTCGTAATTCATAACACAATATGAGTAGTTGTTGTACTGTGTCCTTTGTACAGTGACTAAAAATACACATACAACCATGGTACATGTATGTCAACAATGTCATAATAACTTTTTGGAGCACTTTTTGTGGTTGGTAGAGTCTGAGAATGAAGAACCTCTAGATGCAGATTGTGGTTGGGAAAAATAAACCTGTTCCTTCTTAAGCTAAGGAGCCCAAGCAGCTGGGGAGGTGAGAGGCAGGGCTCCTTCAATAGAGTGCCTTGAACAGAGCTCAAAGAGGGAACAAATAAACCATTCTGGGGGAGGGGGGGAGCTGCAGAAGGGATGGCCACCAGAAAGCCAGGAGTAATTCAACAGAAGTGTGGGATATGCACAGGGTATCATTTCCAAGTGAGAACTGAGACAATAAGACAGCCAGAGACCCAGGGTGAAACCAGGCCATCAGTCATCCTGGCGTGCCTAGGTCCGCCTTGGCTTTAGCACTGTAGGCCCACATCCAGGGGGTTGGGGTATATAGCTTAGTGTGAGCGACTGCGAGCTCTGGGTATGGTCCCCAGCATCTCCAAAACAAAGGGAAGGAGAAAGGAAAGAAGAAAGGGGGAAGGGACAGAGAAAGGGGGGAAGAAGGAAAGGGGTCAGAGGAGATGAAGAAGAGGAGGCAGAGAGGGAGGGAGAAGAGAAAAGGAAGAAAAGAAGGAAGAGGCGGAGGAAATAAAAAAGAAAGGGAGGGAGGGAGGGAGGGAGGGAGGGAGGGAGGGAGGGAGGGAGGGAGGGAGGGAGGGAGGAATGGATGGGGAAAGGCCAGGCTGGAGAGATGGCTCAGAGGTTAAAAGCACGGGCTGCTTTTCCAGATGGACCTGAATTCAATTCCCAGCAACTACATACAGGGTGGCTCACAACTGTCTGTAATGAGATCTGGTGCCCTCTTCTGGCCTGCAGGCATACATGCAGACAGAACACTGTATACATAACAAATAAATCTTAAAAAAGAAAGGAAGGAAGAAAGGGAGGGAGGGAGGGAGGGAGGGAGGGAGGGAGGGAGGGAGGGAGGAAGGAAGGAAGGAAGGAAGGAAGGAAGGAAGGAAGGAAGACCAAACCATTTTCAGGACCCTCTCGGTCACCGTGAGTTATTCTGGAGACTGGAAGGTCAATGAAGGCTGAAGCCCACAGGTGTCGGTCTGAGTTCCATGAGGTTGGGGAGGGAGATGGAAAATTAGTCAAGGGTCCAAACAGGAAGCTGATCCCTGCCAGGAAGTCAAGGCAGCACAGTAGGTACTGAATCGATAAAGGACTGTTAAACAGGAAAGTGACCTGGGGAGACTTGCATGTAGAGGGCTCTGGTGCCTGGGCAATCGGGGAGAGATGCTGTGCAGAAGGCTGTCCGTCACAGAGCCCCTGCCTTTCTCCAAAGAAGAGAGGACAGTAAGCTGGACAAAAGAGGAGGGAGATCGAACTGGGAGGTAGAGACTGCAACCGCAGGAGTTAGAGTACAGAGGTAGGTGAGGGGGACTCTCACATGCCTGGCACGGACCTTTGGAAAAGTCTGGGGAAGTAATGAGGGTGGTTTGGAAAGGCCTTCCCACACCACCCTGCCCTGGAATGCAAACAAACAGTTCCTTCCCCTGAAGCTTGTGTTGCTTTGACAGTCTGTCTTGCTGTGTGTGCAACCAT